GGAGTAGAGGAAGGAAAAATGAAAACAAGGCAAGGCACAAGCAGCACTAATGTTTTTAAGCAGACTTAATCCAGTCTCATACGTGGCCCAACTGTCTGATAGCTACATGAGTAGCAATATGTAGTTCAATTACATCGATCATTGGTAACACTGCATGTGTATATGTTTTCTACATTAACTCCATGATACCATAGGGAAGTTCAGCTCAATGGTGTCAACAACCACCAGTCCCAAGCGTGAAGGGAGACCTGAGCTCAGCCAGGAGCTCGTGTCATGAGCCGGGATCTGACTCATTTGCTCTGTCTCCCTTAGGGAGGTGAGCCCAGAGGGTGAGTTGGGTCAGTACGAAAAGCAGGGAGAGGAGGAAAGGAGCAGGTTTCTGGAAGCGAGAATTATTACCTGCTTCCAAGTGTCTGGCAGTTTAGGACAGGCATCCTTGCAGATGAGTCTTGTCAGAACTCACAAAACAACTCTTCGTGTCTGTCTTCGGTGTGTAGAGAGAGAAAAAGGTATTATTTTAGGGGACTTGTGCTGACTTTCCCAAGTCTTGTATTTGTGGATAAAGGAAGTTGATCGTTGAAGTAAGAATTAATTGTCCGGGTACAAACATGCCGTAACTTCGTTAGTCATGTCCATGAGAGAGTAGGGTTACTTTCAGTCACTCTGTCCAGCCAAACTGGAAGATTTTCCTAGGCAAACCTGGGCTCCCTGCAGAAGTTCCTCTGGCCTGGGCAGCAGTTTAGCTTTGTGGCGGTGCTCAGCCAGTCAGACTCCCGAAATGCTGGTGTTTTCCCTGGACAAGGCTAATGGAGAGGGCCTGGCTAAAGTGCCAGTGGCCTCCGAATAAAAGAAGGCAGTATAATCTGTACTATCTGTTACTTTATGGAAAGTAGTCTGTCAAACTATCATTAAAAAAAAAAGCAAACACATTATTAATCTGATGACAGGGAAAGACTCCCTATACATTTTTAAGAATTAAGCTACTGATTATATTCAGTCATGTTTAATTTATATGCAGTAAAATTGTTGGTATGTTATAGCTTGGAGTGTTTCTACAGAAGCTGAGTGCTGTGTAATGCTTCTTGACATTATCTAGGAGCATGAACCATGTAGGAGTTGAGGAATTTTTCATTTTTTTCCATGCAAGCTTTCCAAAAATCGGTTAGTGGGGGAGGTCTACAGCACTGTGCTTCCAAGCTTTGATTGTTTGAGGATAACGAAAAACAGCAGTGATAAAAATAACTGCTATGAAGATGAGCCCAGGAGTTGGCCACGTGGACAGTGCACATCAGCAGCCCCTGCGGCAACAGGACCCAAACTCATCCCTCAGCTCTTAAAGCCACATTTCACCTTACGGGCTAAACCCCGTAGTGCTCTCTGCTCGGGACACCCTGTCCTCCAGGCACGTGGGGCCTGACCCGCTGGCAGGGCACAGGCCTATTAAAGGCCTGGTTTTATTGAGGATTCAGCCAGCTGAGCATCAGGAGATTTTTCTCTTCAAGGCAGAAAGCGCTGGTTGATAACATACATTAAGTATGAGTACTGCTGTAATTTACTGGACAGGTTCCTCCTGTCCTGCCCAGAGGGTTTGGAGTTCATCAACAAAGATTATTAGAAATGCTCTACAGGAAGGAAAAAAAAAGAAAGAAAGAAAAAAAAAACAGTAGGGAGACTGTAGTAAGTAACTACTAAGTAAGTGGGTATTGTAAAGCATAGGTTTGGAGGGACATATTTATTTTGGAGAAGGTTTTTTTAAGTACAGGATACAGCTTTTTTTCTGATTTGAAGTTGTATTTTGAAGATGTAGATCAGATTTAAAAGAATCTGATTTAAAAGAAACCTGGTTTTTGCACAGCAGTGAATCTAATTTGCAAAGGACCTTTCTGCACGTCAGAAGTACTGCCTGCCATGTTCAGTCCTTCGTGCACCAATTCTGGGCATTTAATTCTATGTGGAAAAGAAAACAAACAAACAAACAAACAAACAAAAATAGGCTCCTTTCCTCAGCAGCCCTTTTTCATTTTTGCATTTTTGTTTTAAGTGTGTCTTTTTCTCTGTAGCACCCAGCATTTCGTTTCTATGCTCAGTTTGAATGATCAGGTAGTTGAAATCCATCTGTCTGTGGCGAAAGTAAAAGCAATGCCCATGTTCAGCAGCAGAGACTACAGGGCAGGTTTTGTTTCTTAACATGGTCGGCTATGAAATACAAGAAGGTGCAAAGAATGCTATTTTAATTCCACAACGGCTGCCTGTGTGTTAAACGTGATATGACAGATTTATTTCCTGATACCCAAAGCTAACACAATACCCACTTTGCTGTGTACTGAGAGCAGTGATCTATTTGCTCTCTACAAACTAGCAATGTTCGTGATGAGCAACTCTAATGTACAGCACTAAACTTAGAGCATAGTCAGCCAAGGATATTTTTGCTGTGAATATCTGATATTTTTGTGCCATGTTAACCCCTTTGGAGGTTGCTGTGAGAGTGAGAGGCTGTTGCCTGGGCTAAGAACTGAATCTCCCATTAACACCAGATGTTGGGCACCAGAGAAGCTGAGCCATCACCAGCTTCATCGTAGAAGCAGAAGATCACAAAACTTCCTAGCCTTTCAATTTTCATCTGCATTGTGCAAAAATGCAGGCCAAATTCACCAAATAACTGAAACTTCTCATCTAATAGAATTCTTTATTCTAATCTGTTTTAAATCTAGCCTTTTTATTCACCAGCCTGGACTGGTGCCTGGATTTATTCCTACGCAGGTGGAGGACCCTGCACTTTCCTCTGTTGAACTTCATGAGGTTTCTCTCTGCCCATCTCTCCAGCCTGTCCAGGTCCCCCCGCATGGCAGCGCAGCCCCCTGGCACATCAGCCACTCCTCAGCCACAATTTGGCATCACCAGCAAACTTGCCGAGGAGGGACTCTGTTCCTTCATCCAGGTCATAGATTGATAAACTGAGCAAAAGTGGCCCCCATACTGATCCCTGGGGACACTGCTGGCTACAGGCCTCCTGTGAGACTGCACTGCTGATCACAACACTCTGAGCTCTGCCCTTCAGCCAGTTCTCAATGTCCCTCACTGTCCACTCATCATCCATTGTCCTGGATTTTCTTTCTTTCCAATGAAAATGGGCCATCCTTCCTCAGCATATCCTGTCATCTCATGGTCCTGAAGGCAACAGTTCGGGGCCTTAAATCTCTGACTCTCACGTTTCTTATGGACAAATGATACAGGTCTCCCACAGCCATGATGAACAAGGATGTTCTAACTGGCAATATTGACAGAGACAATTTATAGTCTATTGTGTTAAAGCAGCTGCTGACCATTCATACCCTGCCGCCATCTTGACATTCCCGACTGTTTTTGATAACTATTTTTAACAAAGGATGTTTGACAGGAATTCCTTCAGCATCTGATCTTGGCCTTTTGTACCTTTTTTCTCCTCAGTTCCCTTCCTCCTGCTTTTCCCCTTCCCACACTTCTCCTTACACACATGCGAAAACAAATTTAGCAGGAAAAAAAGGAGTTAAACAACCCTCACACAGCATATATACATCAGCAGAGGGAATGTTTCTTTGGCAAATTCTTTGCATATACCATTGCTGAAAACAAGAAAAAATCCTGTATTTACTATCATCACATTTGAAAAAACAAAACAAAACAACAACAACAAAAGCAGGCTGCCATAGGAGAGGGATCACGGATACACATGATGCTCACGTGTCCTGTGGATGCTTTGCACACTCAGTGGTCAGAGAGCTGGGGAGACCTCGTCTTTGTGACACTAAGTAACACGCTTGCCATGCTTTGCCACATTTTATTTAATGATCAGTTTTAGCAGGTAAAGCATGCCCAGGCACAAACCTTAACCTCCTCACAGCTGGCCACAAGTAAGTCTCTTGGTGGCAGCATCATGGGCAGCAAGCCCATGCTGGGCCGGCAGCCCTAAGTTTTTGTGCTGTTGTGGCATCACTCACTGAGTCTCACATACACTTTTTCTGTCTCTTTTTTTTCTCCTTAAACAAGATTTCCTGGCAACAAGTCGGACATTACAGTGTTGAGAGGATAGAGCAGAGCATCCGACAAGCTGCTGAGCTGCAGGCTGCTCTGCCAAGGGATCGGTGCCACGGCAAGGGCTCCGTGCCTTGTTCCCAGCCCGCTTTCTGGTGGCAGCCCGGTCTCACTGCCATGCCCATGGCCAGGGGCATCCGCGGCTTCCCCAGCAATGCCTGGGCCCAAAACAACTTACGCAGGAAAAAAAAAAAAAAAGAAATTAAAAGTGATTTCTGGAAAACAGCTGCTCCCTCTTTTTTTAAGCTTCCCCATTTCCCCACTTCTTGCCTGCAGGGAGGCTGGGCTCACGCGTGGGGGAATTTTTGGTGTGCCCATGATTGACAGGGCCATGGTGTCCTGTCAGGAAGGCTGTGGTTTATTAACAAAATGACTCTGGGAAGCTGCAAGGAGAGAGCTTCCTAGGGGGGAGCTGCTAGACTGAAAGTGTCTTTCAAGCAGAGGGATGCTGGTCCCTCTGTATCCCCTTTCCTTCTGTTACCCATGGGCAATTCCTCCTGCGCCTGCCCTGCGCTTCTCTGCTCTCTCTGTCTTTCACCCCTGAAGCATCCCAGCAATGCCTGGAGACTGGTATGCCCCGGCTGGGTAAGAATAGTCTACAATGGCAGAGCTTACGCCTGTTATATATTGTCCACTTGCAGTTGTCTGGACAGAAGATCCACAGAAGAGGTAAGAGCAGACACATCGGAGAAGCCAGGACTCATGAGATGTCCTGTTAAACCCTTGGGAAGATTTGCTGCCACATCCAGAGCAAACAGTCCTGTTCACTTCATTAAAATAATTCTTCATTGATAATGTTGTGACTCAGTATCTCACTTCTGTCTCTTACCCTTCCCTCATTTTTTTTCCCTATTTTTCCTCTCTAGGTCTAATTTACTTTGGAAATGTCAAAACTGCTAAGGCTGGGAGTCTTGTGAACCCGTTCAAAGATGGAGCGCTTGGACTCACTGGGATTACTGATTATCACACTCAACTATAATGTGACTGTTGTAGGTAAGGAGCTTTTAAAATATTACATGTTTTTGTCTGCTTTGTATCTGGGGCCACCCTATCTGATAGCTGACTTTGATTTGTTGCTATCAATCAGTCTAATAGAGATCCTTAAAAAAAGAAGTAATTAGTCGGGTATGTGATATAAGAATAGTGAATATATGTCTTCTTATGAAATAGATTCCTACTTCCTCTTTGAGGGATATTTTCTGAACTATGATTTAAAAAATGGAAAGATTTTCAAAATTGACTTTTCTTGACTCCTAAAAAAAATTATCCCATCCAAAAATCTCTAAGAAACTGCACAAAGAACAAGGTCTCATTCAAAGATGAGACATAGGGCAGCAATTACTATTTTTTTCACTACTATTGGTTTATTGGAATAAGGGAAACATCTCATCCTTTCCATTGAAGTGAGTGAGTCTGAGCCTTGCCTAAAGCAATTATATGAAAGAATTCAGAGAAAGACAAATATAAAGAAGCAATGTATTGAAAAGCCAAATCTGTAAAGCTCCCCTGGGTCCTGGTTTTAAGGCAGAAGGAGCAATTGTTCTGAAAGGAGAGAGAGAGCAGCAGAGGGAATGTGAGGGAGGGCTGGGGATACCACGATGAGGCAACCAAAGAAGCATTAAAGGGAAATGACAGGGGTACACATGCACAGACACAAATGTACATTTGTAGAACATTTTGCATAAGTTTGGTAATTAACATCTGTTAACTAGCTCATTAGTAACTCTAGACAAAACAGAGATACTTTCTTGGTCATAGCCAATCTTACATTAGAACTAAGAACAAATATTACAGCAGGAAAAAACCTTTTGTATCTACAAGCTTCCTCCTGTGCTAATTGATTTATACCAAACTAGGACAAAATTCAGGTGCAAAGGCATGGAACAGACAGTAAGGAAGAACTGTAATTGAAATGGGATTATTCACACAACCCTTAACTCTTTTTACCAGATTTGGACATGTAGAAGTGCTTTAATGAAGCCGAGGTTTTGCTTGGCAGGGTTTACTGTGTGTCAGACTCCTACACTGCCACATCTAGATGAAAGCTATGGAATGTGTTAGTTAACACATTTTCACACGAGCTTCAGTTCCAGTCAAAACAAAGACAAAGAGCAGCTTTAAGAGGAGGAAAATGATTGCAAATGCCATTTCTTCAAATGTCAATGGAGAGTGGCTCCATCACATACCCCCAGTTAGGATGAGTGCTCTCAGTGCTCTATTTCTGTTACCTGTTGTTCTCTTCTAGGAAAGATCTGGCTAACATTAATAATTCTGCTGAGACTGGCAGTGGTCGTGCTGGCAGGCTATCCGCTCTACCAAGATGAGCAGGAACGCTTCATCTGCAACACCCTGCAACCTGGGTGCTCCAACGTTTGCTATGACTTGTTCTCACCCATATCTCAGTTCAGGTTCTGGCTCTTTCAGACTGTGTCTATCCTGCTGCCTTATGCTGCTTTCAGCATTTACGTTTTGCACAAGGTGGCCATGCACATTGTAAGGATGCATGGTTTGGCACAGGGACACAAAGGCAATAAGTGTTTGCCTAGCCCCAAAGAACAGAAAAAACACAGTGCAAGTCCTGTTGCCTATAGACTAGACTATGACGCAGGCAGCCTGAGTGTCCTTGATTTTTCAGAGGCATACACTGTTCAGCTTTCTGTTAGGACACTAATTGAAGCTGCCTTTGGAGCTGGGCAATATTATTTGTTTGGATTTTTTGTTCCTGAGCGCTTTTCCTGCTACCATTCACCTTGTACAAGCACGGTGGATTGTTATATCTCCCGGCCCACAGAGAAATCCATAATGATGATTTTCATGTGGGCAGTGAGCAGCCTGTCCTTCCTGCTCAGCCTTGCTGATCTTGTCTGTGCTCTTCGGATGATGACAGCGAGGAACCGACAGAAGAAGCCGCTGGCAAACCTCCACGTGGAGGATGCCCACGTTTCAGCTCTGCCTCCAGGACACTGCACTAGCTCTTCCCTAGCTCAACATCAAGACCAGCCAGCACCAAAAGGCAGCCAGGGCAGTGACGGCTCCTGCTCCCTTCTCTCTGAAGAGGAAGGAGAGCCTGTTCTTCATCCTGAAGTGGTCTCTCAGCAAACTGCCCACACTAATGTTAACAGTAACAGCAATATGCCCTGTGTACTGAGAGATCCTGCTGCTAATCAAGGCGGCATTGAAGGGCCCTTGTGTGCCGCTGATCAGCAAGGCACTACGTGCAGGCAAGGGAGACCCGGGCTTCAGCAAGGTTTCATTCAAGATACCACCCTGACTTTGAGACCTCAGAACAAGTCTCACCTCGGAGTTTCCTCCTCTGTAGTTCAGAGCAAGCTTTTAGGTCATTATGATTCAGCTGAGCTAAAAAATTCTGATGCACAATCAAATTATAGCAGTACTAGTTGCCTGAGGTCAAAAAAATCAGAATGGGTTTAGGGCACTGAGTCAGCACTGCCCTGGGATCCTGCCACGACGCGTGGCTGCTTCACTGGGGAGGTTGGAGCTGGACACCGCGGCTGAGGCTGTGCACGAGATAGATACGGTACTGTGCTGCGTTTGGCTGAGGGGAGGAAGATGACGAAGCAAGACTCTATCGAGGAGGAAGCAAAACCTCTGATAAGAGCTTGAAGAATACTACACTAAGAGAACGTTTTCTGGAAAATGCAACAGCTTTATGTTCCTCTGAATGTGAGTGGCTCCATAAAACTGTGGACTGCCACTCTTTTTTAAATCTGTTTTTTCAGGAGCATGTATATACACTTGTTTGCCCTGACCTAGCTTTATTCCAACAATTGAGCTTAAGAAAGGCTTGATTTTTAGCACAGCTATTCATTGTCTCTTTTCGGAAAGTTAATTAGACTCCTCATATTAAGCTGTCCAAGGCCCTCAAAGCAAACGTTTTGTAGAAAAAGAAAATAAAGTGTTTTTTTTTTTGTTTTTTGTTTTTTTGTTTTTTTTCCAAAGTGTTCAACGTATCAGTGTGTAAACAAGGTCTGGATCTTACTGAACTTTGGGGTTGGAAGGCTGTACCTGTACTAGTTAACAGTACCATGGCATTGCTCTCTTGTCCAGAGCTATGGTCTGGCCATGTCTGAGCTGTTCATTTCTGCTGGCCTCCAAAACAAGGTGGCTGGATTCAGACTATTTATGGGAAATGGTCCTGTGCTGCAAGCTGCTCGGGAGGGAGCTGGTAGCTAGGCCTGGCCAGGCAACGTGACAGTGTAGGGGACCGTGCTGCAGTGCGCAGGCCCTGGCACTGCTTACTGGTACTAGTGCTGGTGGCGATGAGCTACCAGCATGTCTAGAAAGCACCGCACGCCTCTGTCTGAGGTAGGCACTTGGGGCTCTCATTTCCAGCAGGACAGATGACTCATCTGACCTACTTCAGACTCTGGTGACTCACTCTGGATAAACCTCTCTCTGCTACCGGGTGACTATCTCAGGCCTGGGCTCGAGGAAGGTTGTGTCTAGCCCGAGAAGGATACAGCGGCAGTGTCTATACAAAAGCACTCGCTTCTTCATTTGGCAGACTGCTGAAGCTAATGATTCAAAAATGTGTTTTTAAGTAATGACCGTTTTGATCATTGTCATGCCTCATTCTTTCCTTCTGCTGTGATTCTGCTGCGTTTATGTAAGCGTGGCCCAGCGCTGAGGCGCAGCTCTGCGTGAAGTGGATTCGCTCTTAGCTGCAAGTCAGAGGGGGCTGAAGGCTGCAGATACCTGCAGATCGTCCCAGGTGGAGGAGCAGGTACTCTGAGGAAATGTACTGGTTATAGTGCCTTATAAAACTGATCATTCAGGGGGCTGCAGGGGTTTGAAGGCACTGCTTGGAACTGAAGTATCTTCCACTGCATTTAGACCCGTGCAGAGGAGAAAACAGGCATAGATCCCATCTTGCCCCAATTCTGCCTTGTAACATGTTTTTGTAATGACCTCACGGCAGGCTCCTCTGTGCAGAACATCCAGAGGAAACAGCTTTTACATCCTCCCTTTTCACTCCAATGGATGCAAAAGTCTTGAAGACAGGCCAGTGCATGACATCCATGCACTATTTCTCCCAAATGCAAGGTTAATTATGCCACATCCTCTGCCTTGCCTCAAAACTGGTAGGTTTGGTGCATGGGGGGCAGAATTGCTGTGTGGGACTGGAGGCAGCATTTCCTCCACCATGTAACATACTAGGAGATGCCTGGGTTTACTGCAGAGGTTTTTAATTGCTACATTATAAGTAATGTTTTCCTTCTTATTAGCTGTTCTTATTTCTTTTATCCTGCATGCTAGCTGTATGTTTTGTCATTTTCAGGGTAGGAGTCATATTAATTATTAAACTTATCATAGACAGAAAACCATTAAATATTTAAACTCTTCAGCCTGCAAAGCATCTTTAATAGAGCCTCTGCTGTTCACATGTACTGTCACAAAATACTGCAGCAGAGGAACCTTTCATAATTCCCTGTGCCTGCCCAGCTGTGAGCAGGAAGGCAAGGAACAAATGTGGATTGAGTGTATCCCGTGCACCCCTCAAACTGAGATATCTGCATGCCTATAAATAGGGGAGGATAAATAACGCATGCGTTATGGCTGGACACAATTTGCTTATTTGTGTCACCAGCTAGACAGCTTTTAACAACTCAGGAGTCTCCGTTTGAATCAAGAAGATCCTTCTTGTGCCTGGAATAGACAGGGAAATTAGAGAACTTCCTTACTCCGTTTGAGGTTTACAGTTGGGAGATTTTGCCCTTTGCTCATAGCACCGTCCCTTTGCTGCAGCCTCCCTGGACTCTGGACTGAATCATCTTGGACTCAGTGTGGGGTCAGTGTAATGAGCATTTAATGGATTTATATCCTCTAGGAGCAGGATTGCATGGACATCTTGGTAGAGGGGGAATAGAAGTTTAAGTATGTTATCAATAACCTAATCCTTAGGGAATATCTGTGAGTTTCTTTTAAAGACTGTTTTCAAGTCACATAAATTATGAATACAGGCTCTTGGGAACAGGGTAAATCTGCCAGCAAGAGAAGACCAAGGGAAGATGTGCAGAAATGTTTGCACTATCATCTGAGCTCTCATGGCTGAAGCAAATCAGAGATGATGGTTGGGAAGTGCATCAGCAGCAAGGAGGGAGACCCAGGAAAGCAGATCTGTTTGAAAGAGGACACCAGGATGGCAACCAAACATAATTTCTACTTCTATTCAGTGTCACTCGGTCTTAAGACAAGGCTCTATTCTGTCCAAATGCCCTATAAAGAGTGAGTAAAAGAAGTAATTAATCTGGTTTAGGAATGAAGCAGTGAAGTAGCAAGACTTTCTGCCATTTAAGCACATCTTTAGTCTTCTACATTTCTGAACATGACCCTGCGATTCCTACTGAAATGTATCTCTTGCTCAAGAGAATGTCGCAAAAGCTGCTTTTTAAGCTTGACAGTATGTCTTTAAATTTTCTCTTAACCCAAGTATTTTGGAAAAAACATTTCTGAAGACAGGCTGACAACACAGTACTCGCAATACTACCCGTCGCTTAGCTCTTGTGTGCAGACAAGGCTGCCATAGCCGAGGACTCCACCAGTTGCACCCTTACAGAAGAGCACAGGAGCTGTTTTCATTGCTCATCCAGTCTCCTCTGCTACTGAGCGTGAGACTATGCAGAAATGATTTAGAGCTCCCTGAAAATAAGAGTTGGAGATGGTCAGGAAATTTATGATTCTCACAGTAGGAAATATAATTTTATTTGGAAATTCTAAAATATCTCCTACCCCCGTTTTTTTTTTTTTTTTTTTTTTTTTTTTTTTTTTTTTCTTCTAGTATCTTTAACTGAAGCATAGAATTTGCTAAGTAAGTAACTGATAGGCTGCTGGAGTCCAATGCTCAGAATATCTATGTTACTCTGCGGTAAAATTAAGACTGCTTAGGAGCTTCTGCACTACTAGCATGATTTCAGAAAAAAAGAACAAAAACAAACAAACAAAAAATAGTTTTACCTCTGGATAAAAAAGATTTTAATTTTTTTTTCCTGAGCAGAAGTGGGCTTTTTTGTTTGTTTTAATTTGTTTTTTAATACAGAAAATGAAGCCAAAGCCAATTTCAATCACTTACTTATAATAATTTTCTCCTTTTTCCTCACACTCTACATTGGGTCTCTTTGATTTGCTCTCACCAGCTTAATAGAAAGCTGTGACTCTGTTCTCTTGTGAAATACGCTGCAGACAGCTGTCTAGGGAATGCATAATTTCCTATTAGCAGCAGTTGTTCTTCATAAATATCCCAGATTGGGAAAAGTATTAAATATGAAGTTAACTATGTACAAAGACACTTAGTGTATTTTTTCAAGTTATTAAAATGAACTACCCTTGTGTGATACATAATTATTGCAGAGATTATCTTTCTAGAAGGGATCATTAAAGAGGATATTAATTGTACACTTCTATTTTAATGTCGTGATTATAATGATGAAAAGATACATTAATACTGCTTGTAATGTTTTAGGATAATAAAAAAATACATCTCCAAAACTATGAAGGTCGAGTAGTTGAAAAGGCTCTTACTTAACTTCTGTCTTTTGTTGTATTTTTAATAGCTCAATATTCAAATGGTAGAAAAATAATTTTATAAAGTAGTGCTTACACTGTAATTGAGTAGTTGAAATGTTCTCAAAATTAGATGGTCTCTGTTCAAAACCATAACATGAATTCTTGGTCAGGGATACACATAAATGCTGACTGTGGAAAATGAGCTTAGCAGTGCAGAAATCTGACCAGAAAGTATGAAATGCATCTTTACATTTAAAATAATCTCTCATCCATGCAGCTAGATTTCAATCCCAGTCTAGTTCACTAGACTTTGCCTTGCTTTTGCCCACTCCCACTTCTGTTTCTTCTGCTTGGGCTGTCCCAGGCCCTTGTTGCAGCTATGATTTAACTCTGGAAGAATCCATCTAGTCTAACTCAAAGGACAGTTTCCACTTCCTTGGCCATTCACAGCACGGAAATATCAAAAAAATCAGAGCGTTATCTCTAAATTGGCTTTTGAAGCTAACACTTTAATTTGGGTACTGGACTAGCTTTGAAACATATTCACTGATGAAAAATTCACTGAAACAAGATGACGATGGTTTCCAAGCTGTTCTTTAAAGATGAAATTTATATATGGTGCCCTCAAGAAAGATGGAAGATCTGAGGTCAGCAATCAGAAGCAAGTCCTTCTGTTTCTTATTTTCCTACTCTTTATCATTTATTTTGCCTATGGGGCTTTAAGCACCTCATGCCAGAGTGTGTTTGGGGACTTTTCTATTGTTAAACATGTTGCCTTTGGCATTTGGAAAGATGCAGAAGCCTCTGACCAAACAGAAAGATTTTTTGCATCATCTTCTGTGGTTTCCTACCCTGTCTTAGTACTGGAGGTGTGCAGTATTCTTCCCTTCCTAGGAAAGATGAAGAAA